AATTTGTTTATATAACTATACCTAAGTCGAGAATACCTCGAGGTTGCGGATAGGTGGACATTTAAAAATTAATCTATGCTAATGATAAAGTTTTATCGTTATTATTGAATTCGCTAGTTTAATTTTAACGTGAACCGTTCGTTGCGTGTTTATGTGACGCCATCTCTTACATCCCACTGAAGACTGTGTAAATATTTCGTTGAATTAATACTTAGATTCATAACGCAAACAAGAATATAATCTGATATCAAACAAAACAGTCATGTAAAATGATTAATGTGAATTACTCGAGTCATTTATATTACAGTTCCATGCGTTACAACTTCAAATTGATAAAATCGCGTAGAAATTGAAAATCAAAACTAATCTTTGAATCGCTTTTTGCACAAAATCCCAGAAAACGTTCAAAATGTATCCGTTCAAAAAAAAACTTTTAAAGGAACGTTTGTGTTTTAATGGCTATTATTGTATTTAGTTATTTAGTTGTGATTATTTGAATGATAACACACTCTAGAAATGAATAATTATTCGCTCCCGGCTCTTTCAAGTGGAAATTAATAAATTGTACACATATTTGTTATTTATTTGTCAAGTTAAAAAAAAATGTCCCGGTGAGTTTCTTACGCCGGTTCTTCTCAGGTCAGAAGAGTCAGAGACTTTCCTTCCGAACGAGTGGTAGTCTTTTTAATTATCAATAAGTAATGCTTCTATATTGAATAAAGATATTTGAATTTTTAAAATCTACAAAAGAGCTATTTTAAGTACTTTACAATTGATTATTTATCACCCTAACCTAGCGTGTAATATAATAGTTTTTTTTTTTTTAACACATATTCAGTAGTACCGCCAAAATTACGAAGCATATTCAACATGGCTTCGTCGCGACTCTGTTATAAAGGTTATTAAGTACAATATTACCTGATAACAAATCAAATGCGGGCGGCAACTGAATAGAAATGGCTCCGAATGAGCTAGGCGTCGACGGCGTCACGTATCGAACGCATCCGCGTCCAATTGTCAAATAGCTATTCGAGGCTAGCACGCGAAGCGGCGCGGGATTTTAGTTGAACCGTAGTTTTTAAATAATTCGCTAATAACATGGAAAATGATACATCGATAATTGGGAACGATTAAAATGTCGTTTGTTTACCCGCAGAGACGTCAATTATCTAGCGACTTATAATATGAATGCATTAATTTCTGAAATTCGTATTCAATGTTTATAACTCAACAGAGTTGGTTATGAGTTGTTGACAAAGGAAAAGAAATGGTAATAAAGGACTAATTGGACTTTGTAAGTGTGTAAAAATTAAATATTGCTATTAGCGTTCTGTTCATATTCACTACTATGTAACATCTAGGACTATAATATCTATGCCGAACCAGAGCCTTTTTATATAGCAGCGGAAGTTAATACGACGCCCTATTGCGATAAAAATATTATGATGATGTTTTAAAATAGAGAATGAAGCAAGCAAGCATTTCACTTGATGGTCAGTGATTACTGCAGCTCATTTTTGATTGATTCTGTAACATCACAAAACTTACTAATTACGCCCCCTTTGAGGTAAGCTTAGATAATTTTCTTGAAGACTTCTGTTCGGAAATACTATTAGAAACAACTGATCCCATAAGTCAGTCATATATAACAGGAAATTTGTGGAGTACCGAAGTGTTATTGATGATAAATGGAATCATAAGAAAGTGCTTACAAAAAGAAGGTACGATACAAAGTTTAACTTTTCCTTCATATTTGCAAACTTGTGCCTCATCTTGGAAAAAACTGCTTTGTGCTAAATCCGTTGAAAAATCTGTTGCTACGTTCAAATTATCTGCTACTAAATCCGCCCATCAATGAGTTACGATAGAAGATCGTAAGCTGAGCTACCCCATCGGAAACTATATTACAAGGTTGTCTGGTCGATAATGATGGCATTATATCTGCCTACGTAAAACTTTTATTGGTGTATAAAGAATAAATTAATAATAAACTCGTAAAAATAACTAAGACACGTTAAAACCAATATCTACTTCGGGGCACGTCCTCAGGTCAATGGAAGGGATTAGGTGAAATGGGGAACGGAGACGTCCACGCGGTATATACTTTTTTTTTTGGTATCGGGAGGGAAATCTTCGAAAGATACCCTGTCACTTTACATGACAGGGTTATGTGGGGTTCTTACTCACTAAAACCCCTCGGTGGCCGCCTTCCGTACATTTGGAGGGACTCCGTCATCTCCCATGGAACTCACCCGTGTCCCTCGGTACTACGCCTGAGGACGCCTCGGAGAAGGATAAACCTTCTCCGACGAGACGAGACCACTTCGTGCTGCTGCCCATCCGTGTCCCGTTTTAGTCGCCTTTTACGACAGGCAGGGGATATCTTAGCCCTATTCTATGAGCCCAGGACTACAGGGCTGGCGGTATATAGACCTAGGGACAATTGAGTTCTAACGTTGCAGGATGGCCGATGGCGTAGTCCTCTTATGTCCAGGTTGAAGTTGGGCTCAAAAGAAGTGCCTGAGAGATTGGCTTTTTCAATTGCAGTGTAGGCCAACGTCTCCTGACCATTGATTACATTATTAATATAATCTATAAATATTAGCTTGAATAGTCAAACCACAACGAACGAGTTCTCGAAGAAAGGTAAAGTAATCTTCCGCCAATTCTATCATCGTGATCTGCTGAGGCAGGAATTCTTTTAAATCACCTAGTCAAAGAAGTATACTTTGTTGTGTAGGAGCAATCGAATATGGGCTACACTATACCTACGATGGAGACAACAATGAGAAAAAACTAATTCCGATCTCTGCAAATGGCATCTGTTGAAGCACAGAAACTGTAGCCGTTTGAACTTGATCGGTGAGTCAGCCTGTATCGATATTGCCACTATGCGACCTATATAAACACACATTATTATTATTGTTACTTACAAGCGTCCATACAATGTACAGGACCTGCAAGGCTGCCGCGACACAAACTTCTTCCTTCAGCATCTTCAGTCACCACACCAAATATGGCGCTAAAAGTAAGATCGTATCAATAAACAATACGATTTCTCATACTAAGGTCGTAAGCTTATGTATTTATATGTGTTTATTTATGTATGGATTATATATTTATAATTATTGGACATATATGTATATAAATAAAACTAATATAGGTACACCATTAACTACCATTTGTCACCAATTTCCAGTCACAGGTCTGCTGGAAGAAATTTCTTAAAATTTAAGCAGTGCCTTTGTACAAATCCTTTGATGTAATACATTTTTACATATTCTCTGTGTACGTAAATTATAAAATAAAATAAAATAAAATAAATATTTTTTATATCTTAAAAACATTGGTTAGGTGCGTTAGGAAAAATGTCACCTAGCTTTATAAATGCAACAAGTTTGATTTTTTGTTTCTGTGAAAAGTAGCCGACCGGTGTTTTCTATTTAGTAATTCTAATTTCAGTTACGCTTCTTTATCGTTTAAAAATATTTGTAAGTGATAAGAAGGCATGTTCGTAATGTAAACTTTTATCACAATTCTTTGCATGATGACTGCTTAATAAGAACACAACTAGCACTTCATTCAATAAAGGATAAAAATTAATACTAAAAACTAACAAATAATAAACTAGATAATGTCGTGAATAATCGTTATGGTTTCCAACAAAGAGATTCCCATAACATAAATAGTGGATTGTATAATAAAATTATCATGTCTATTTTACTCGGCCCCAAGAAGTCCTAATCATCCGTTAAATGCTAATAAATAAACTTGCAAGAATGAATATCGTCAGGTACAGTTCCATAGAATTATAGATGTCGTGGTATCGCCATCTATCGTAAGTTTCTGAAACACAGAACGTAGATGTCATGCATATTTAGGGCTGCCATCCATACTTTATAATAAAGAATATTACGTTATTTTTGGTAAATATACTTTATACTTTTGCATAAAAATAAAGTATGTGAAAATACTTTATACTAATGAATTACAGTAAATATTGAAAATATTTACTGCAATTCATTAAACAAAACACATAAAACAGAAAGAAGAAAAACAAAATAAAAAAACACTCTTTCAAATTAAATAGTTAATTATAATCAAAAGCTTCTAATATTAACAGAACGCTTTCAAGTTGTTATTATTTATATGGTTCTATTATTTATATGACTTAACAAAAACATTTTTTCTCTAGAAAATTTTATCACTTTTTTCTTGTGTTGATAATTTGTCGTTTAATATATTATTAAACCTATAAATTTTAGTGGTATTATTTCCACAAATTTGATGAGTTACTTTTTGAAGTTACTTTTTGAAGTTATATTTCTTTTGGCTTCTCAGGGGAAAATGATGAGTAAATTTTTACGATGCGCGCGCACACCGTCACGAAAAACCGACACCTTGAAATTAGCTAGACATCTACGTATGTTTGCGTGAGAACTGACAACTGTATTTTTATTAAAATTGGGAATACAAAAAAAGTTTACAAAAATTTAAGTATAGTGAAGAACTGTGCTAAATGCATACAAATTTTCAAAAGAAAAGAAATTTTTTTTTTTTTTCAATTAGAAATACTTATAAATACTTTATTATTCTCTACTTAAAAAATGTGATACTGTATTTTTCTCAAAAACAGTTGGCAGCCCTATGCGTATTCTCCTCAACACAGATTAATTATCTTTTTGGTTCTTTTTCTGCAAAAATGTACAAAATTCTTTTTCTAAACTTAATAAACATGTTGTAAAAGTGATATATAAATATTAACATAATACATAACAAGAGATTTTAAGGAATCTTATTAATTTTGTCATGATTCGTTTTATTTTTATTATCTTTATTTCTATTTTATCTGCATGTTGGAATTGATTTCTGTTCTATTATTTCATTTTCACTTAATGGTAACATCGACTTTGACGTTTCATTCATTACAAAGTTGGGCAGTTGCTCATAGCGAAAAATATAAAGCAATTTTATTGCGTACCTATTTTAAGTATATCAAAATGAATTCCGTGGCACGGGCTGGACACCTGGCCCCATACTTTAAAGCTTCGTCACAAGTGGTAGCAAATGGTTTGAAGCCCGTTATACCTGTACCTTCTTCAGTTGATCATTTCGTCACGCAGCCTTTACCTAAAACTTCAACCGTTCAGTCTTTGCATGGAGCTCTGCCTATTCAGGGTTTGAAAGTTAAGCACAACACGAACAGTAAGTAAATTATCAGATAAAAGATCGATATTTGTAAAGAAGTTTAATGTTACATAACACGTCATTTTCAGTACCAACTCAAGTTCGTTTTGCTCACACGGATATTTCGTACCCTGACTTCTCTGCATACCGCCGTAAGGAAACTCTGGACCCAAAATCTCAAGCTAAGGAGAATGTCGATAGCCGCAATTCATTCACATATCTTATCGCTGGAGGTTAGTTTTGTTTCATAATAATTATTAATGTAACAATTAATGTGCTACCAATCTGAAAAATAGTTCCTAACATGGTACTCATAAGTTTCTATTTTTTAAAATATTTCATATTTTTCATTAAAATCTTACGCAAGCTCACTTCACTTAAGCTCAATACATTAATTATACTGTCCGTATATTACAATCATCTTTACAACAGTTTGATAAACTTAAATGAATTAATAACTAATGATTTAAAATTACTCTCTAATTATCTGCTACAGCAATAATTACAAAATAAAGCGCGTTTCAATAGTCTTTGTAATATGTTCAACACAATTCCATTCACATGTAAATACAATGTTAATGGAATTATATTTATTTCTAATTTTCATTTCTAAGATACAATGGGTAAGTACCAGAAGGATGTTTGTGTGGAATATTTTGTTTTTTAAATCAAACCATATGCCAATTAATTGCTCCTTAAGTTATACTTCCATTGCTATTTGATTGTAATTAATTTTTAAGAAATTCAATTTAAAAAAATTGCTATAAAACTACAAATATCTGGTTTTTTGCTCAAAGATTTGTTCTCAACTTGCTCTATTAATTAAAAAATCATAAAAAATAATCTATTTCTGCAATATTTACCTATAATTATTATTATTCTTTGCATGCTTATTATGCACTATGATGTCATTGGTGGTTTTTGTTTGCTCATTACAACAATTTTATATTTTATAGCAAAATAAAATTTTCGAAAATTGAAATTTTTAAAACTTAACTAATAGTAACAAAAGTGGAGTAATTACAACTTCCAAGAGTACATTTAAGGAGCAATTATTTGGCATACAGTTTAATTAAAAAGGAAGACAAAAAAAAGGACTGCCTATTCTCATAGCATAAGAACCATAATCTTGAGAGAGATAGATGCTTGAAACTTTGCTACATCACCCCACGTCTTTCAATTGGCAAAGGAAGTTACTATGGTCCCTGATGTGATTGGTCATCCCGTAAATCGCCTGTACATTATGCTGACTACCGATCCAGACAGGTTCAATGTACTTTACCTTTTAAAACTCCTGAACACCGGTGAAGTCTATTTTTTTATACACCCCTCTCAATAACGACTCACAGTTGCGAGATTTGGCACATTATGCATTTTATCCTTAGTGGACTTCGTTTTTTCCTCTATCTAGCTATGCGGATGCGGTAACTGGTAAATATCTTTATACCATTTGCTGATGAACTGATCGGTAGCAATGCTCCGCATCTTATAGTGCAAAATGTACTTAGGTTGATAAGCACATCCTGCTTAAAGAAAGCCTCACCGACTCCCATGGAAAAGCATTAATTGTAGCTGCTCCAACTTCTCTATTCACTCATCTGGCAAGTCTTTTTTGATCTATGCCAAGACTGTTGGCTTGTACTACCTTGCTTTTAAAACGGAGTGAACCATAGATTAGACAGATCATTTGCCAGGGTAACTGGGCTCCAAACCAAACACCTTCGCTAACTCATTGTGGGTAGCAAAGAGAGGTATCTGTTCCTCTCCCAGTTCTCTTTTAGGATTGTAATAGTGCCTAAGCCCTGGGAGCAGGGTGATGAAGCAAGCTGGCCTGGCTAATTACATATATATATCAATTATCTTCTTTGAGATTATGAGTTAAATATTGAATGCCCACCTCAAACCTAGAACTAAACTACCTTCTCAGTGACCTGTAATAAAGATGAACTAGGGATTTTCAAGTGTTTTCACTTTTCGAATTGGTGCATCAATTATGGTTTCCCTTGGCATCTCAATGACCTTTGGTCTTTCTGATTGATTGGTCTCTTCAAGTTGTCCTCGAACACAATTGTGGAGAGCTGCCAAGCATTCGATTCTCACATAGTAGCCAGCATCTAAATAGGGCGATGTCAAGCTTGTGAGATTTGTCATCAAATCATGTTTTTTACCATCAACATGGACCTCCTTTTCTCTTAGTGGCAACATGGCCAACAACTACACCTGTATCTTATATTGCTTATCAAATTCCTGTTTATGATTATAGTAGTATATTTACAAAAAATATAAGGCTACAGATATACTTGACATTCCTAATTTATGATCTTTTCTCAGTTTATGTTTCAATAATGTATAAGCACTCATTCGCTGATTAAATTTATTCTATCGCTTACTGCTATCAGCCTGTTGAACTTTTCCAGCCGGTGGCGTCGCCGGCGCTTATGCGGCAAAGTCGGTGGTGACACAATTCGTGTCCTCCATGGCGGCGGCCGCCGACGTGCTCGCCCTGGCGAAGATCGAAATCAAACTGGCTGAGATCCCAGAGGGCAAATCCGTCACTTTCAAGTGGCGCGGCAAGCCGCTGTTCATTCGCCACAGGTTCCTTTCACGTTTTATTGGTTTATGACCCTGTAGTTGGCCAATGATAGTATTAAAATATTAATAAAATATATTTAATCCACTCACAATCAATTTGTGAATTAAAATTATTTGACTTTTCTTTTTGACAAAATTGTCAAATTGTAAAAGGTTTATAAACATTTTCTAATTTAAACTTCTTCTTTTTCTTTATCGTTCATTGACCATATATAATTTCTCTCCATTTGCTTCTGACCTGTGCCATTGCAATGCATCATTGTAGAGTTTCTCCTATTGCCTCTATAATTTTTTTTACTCCATGTTAGAATTTGGCCCCTGCATCTGTCCCACGATCAACAGTTGAATAATTTCAAAGAGCTTTTTCTTTTTATCGAAACCTAAAAATATTATCAACTTAAACAAAAACATTAATGAATAAGACTATTACAAAATTGTCAAAAGTGCAATTATTTGTAGGTCAAACACGCGTGTCGGATGGCATTCTAAACAGCGGCCATTATGTCAGGTGGCAGGTGAGCTAGCGGTTCACCTGATGTTAAGTGATAACCGCCGCCCATGCACATTTGCAACACCCGTAACATTGCAGTTGCCACCATTTAATAGTGGGCCCCCGACGTAACGCAGTATAACACTGCCACTTCACCGTGGTCTTCTGCCAGCCCAATCATGCAACAGCGAACTGTTGCGTGGCCGTGCATTTGCCACAGTGCACACACACAATTGCCACAGTGCACACACACAATTGCCACAGTGCACACACACAATTGGCCCAGCGAGCCGATTGATAAACTTCCGCTTCGCGCAGGACACCCGCCGAGATCTCTACGGAGAAGGCGGTGCCGGTGGACCAGCTGCGCGATCCGCAGTCGGACGAGCAGCGCACGCAGGACCCCGAGTGGCTGGTGGTGATCGGCGTGTGCACGCACCTGGGCTGCGTGCCGGTGGCCAACGCGGGCGACTTCGGCGGCTACTACTGCCCCTGCCACGGCTCCCACTACGACGCGTCGGGCCGCATCCGCAAGGGGCCCGCGCCCCTCAACCTCGAGGTGCCGCCCCACACCTTCATGGAGGGCGGCCTCCTCGTCGTGGGCTAACGCACGACGATATTTATCTAGGCAATTTATTTAACACCCTGTACATGAATCGATAGCGGTCAACCAATAAAATGGTTATGTGATACATTGTGGTATTATTTCAGTGTCGTTTTAGATTATATTTATCACTTTGTTTTCGTTGAAATAAATCATTTTCGATTTCGAATGTCTCTTATTAATCGTTCTCTTGGCCCCCCGGTTTTTTTTAAAGTTAATATGGTGTTGTCCCACCAAAGTGGAGTCGGGTGGGCAGAAGTGAATCTTGTTGATGGCATTAGCTAGATTTTTCGGTGGTAGGGCCACCCAGCAGTCTCGTCCGGGTAAGTACCACGACCTTACAGAAGGCCGGGGTAAAGTGGAAGTATAGTACTTTCCGTTTCGTCTGGTGAGTGAGTTGGCCGGAGCCCAATTTTCATAAGGTTGTCAACGCATCCGCAACCCTTGGGTGTAGCAGATATCCATGGGCGGCGGTATTCACTTAACCTCAGGTGAACCGTCTGCTCGCTCGATAAGTTTTCACATAATAAAAAAAAAATTCGACCGGAACAGTACACACACAACTGGACAGTTTTATATGATTCAGACAATTATTGTTCCATTTGGGACACGAATGCACGACCGACGGTGCCTATGCCAATAGCTTGACAGCTGCGCCGCCGAATGAAACACCCAAAATAATTAAGCCGATTTTGAAAGTATCTTGAATTACAACCCAATTGGCTGTCATCACCAACTTTATATTTTTTTTTAATGTGAGAAGGCAGCAAACGAAAAAGCGATTAATCTAATGTTAAATGTTTACCGTCGCCCCTGGATATCTGGTCTTTGAAGCTGCAAATGTCTGGGCCCCTATGATCTCACCCGCCAGACGAGACGCGTAAATATAACAATTCCATTTCACACGGATATTCAGGTCGTAGTATTTCGTGCTCTTATAGCGGGTAAGCAAAAACATTTTACCATGCTAATAAAACCTATGAAAATGTATAAACAACCATTCAAGACTATAAGACACGTTTATAATAATAAGAACACACCTTCATAAAAATAAAACAATCAAAAACGATTTGTAATTTGTTTTATTTACCGTTATTATTATTTCTTTTTCATTTCATTTATGTTTTAGAAGGTTATAATCTACATAACATCTAATATAGACTACTGAAATTTACATACATTTACAGAGACTTCTAACTGGGAATTACTTATTGAAGGTACAATTCAAATTCGGACATTATCGTGTGGAATGCACATGTGGTGTATTAATAGCCATTTAGAAATTATAGAAGGTATTATTTTTTGGTGATGATTTGCTGTGAAGGATATTAGGCCACTGAACATAAACGTTTCGCAACTGAATCTTAGGTACTAGCCAATCGGTATGACAATACAAAATATAAATAACAAAGTGAAATATCTAATCAGAAATTCCCAGTTCAATAAATAAACCAAACTCAGCTTTGAAACACTGAAATCTACTTTAAGTAACCAATTAAAGGATGACACTAAAGAGTACTAGTATATTTACAATTAGGCCTTGGGAGCGGTTACATATTTGGCAAAATAATTTAATTACAACTAAGTTTACCTTCTAAATGAGTGAAAACATCTGAACAAGGAATTGGTATATGAGTTACAATTTATACAAAATTAAACAAGAAATGCAAGATGACCTAGTGATTGGCAATAAATTTTACGGATAAAAATCTCTAAAGTAACGGATAAGCGGTCTATAGTGGCGCTAGGTTCAACAAAATCCCGTGATTCCCCGTAATGACATGGTTATGTTGACAGTAAAATTTATTACAAATAAATGATCAACTTGCAAAATAGCACAATTTTTCTTTTAAAGCTTATAAATAAATATTAACTAGAAATAACCAAAACTATTTTTGTTCTTTTCTCGAATTAACTTAGACAACTAAAATAAAAAATATCGCCACACGAGCAATTAAAGTTGTTTAACATCAAACCAATTTACTTTAACCACCCGTATGTCAATATTGCAAAAATGGAAAGTCCTTATGGCACTGTACTTCGAATTGTATCCACAATTGAAAATGGAGAGTAAATGTCAGATGTCGTGGGATTTTATTTTAATTTTAAAATCTTAATTGGCAAGGTTTCGGTATGCTTCGAGCTTGAAATAACAGATCACAGCAAATTTAGCAAATTAATCGAAAGGTATTTAACATTTAGATATAACATTATACATTTCTCATACAATAACATTCATAGTGAATTACAATATTTTTGAACAAAGAATATCGTGATTTACATTCAAATTGTAGACATATTATAAATTCTAATATTCGGAAAAATATATAAACATTTATTACATACATTTGTAGGTGACAAAATACTATCTTAGTAATTTATGAAAATTTTAAATATCCTTTAAACTATTTAATATTTTATGTGTAGTTAATGTTTTTTACTATACTTTGTTAATGTTAAATCATGGCTGTTTGTAAAATTTATAGTGCTTTTGTGCGATACTTAAAAACGAAATGGGGCGTTACTATCTGTCAAAGTCATAAAGTTTTGTCAAAATATTTAATTGTCGACCTGAAAAATCAAAATGGATTAGGTCCAACTATAACACAACATAGATTCTACACAACCTCGGAAGCTCTTTTATAATTTTATGGTATATTTCATTTGATATAAGAATAAATTGAAGACCTATCTCTTCCTATAGTCAACTCAGCGTTCCTTACTTATATTTTCATGGGGACTGAAATCTCATTTCGTTTAGATTGCTAAACAAAAATTGATCACATTCTAAAACGTTAAAAAGATGTCGGATAATTGTCATTTATGTGTCAACTCAATTACTTTTATCTTTTTAATTGTATGGGGTCGACGTTACAATTCCCAAGATTTTTTTTTTTTCAAAAAAGGACGTATTTAATTGCAATGTAATAAATTGAAAGCAATGGGGAATATTAATGTAAAGTAAGATAAACAAAATGGGAATATTTTTTATTTGGACTTTGAAATAAATGTTATTTTATTCTAAATTCTTTTGAGTTATATGACACATGATTATTTTTAAATGGGTCGTAACATCTTTTAAACAAGAAAGAGGCACGAGTTAATTGTACAAGTTCTGATAGAAATTTGTGTTACGTCAGTACCATATGCATGTTTTTACAACTATACATTATTTGAAACCATTTAACAAAGCTACGAGTCTAGAGAAACAAGAAAGATTAAAACGTTATCAGGAACTTTTTTTAACACAATATAATGTAGTGATACAAATTGTGTCGACGGTGGTTGCTGAATCTTGTTGCTGCATAAAAAGAAATAAATACGCTTTTATATTTGTGTAACACATGGTTAAAACTAAATACGGACGCAGGCCGAAATCAAGAGAAGACAAAATATAAAGGATAGAGTTAGTAAAATATAAAACAGAGCGATTCATCAAGATTCAATCCCGATGTTAACGTCCACGTACGCAGTGTTAAAAGTGTCATAACTAGGTGTTTACGTCAAAGCATATATGAGAGTTTAAATTCCTCTTGCCTGCCACGGTCTCGTAAAATAATTCATGGTTGCAAACAGGAAGTTAACTTTGATACGTAGGTAGGAAACCCGGCGGCCGAAAGATTCTGCGATCCGGTCCGCTTTTCACCACAGCCAGGGCGGACTGTCTGACCGGACTGAGCGAATTCTACGGTACAAGCCAATGCAGAATAATGGCCTGGTGTGACAAGGGCGCGGTCAAAGTTAAAGACCCGCGCCCAGCATCGCATCTGGTCCGGACCGACAGTCGGCAGTGAAACGTAAGGATCCGCGCAGTCGGAACGCCGGCCGATCCGGACCGAGGCGGGCGGACCCGGCGGGCGTGGCAAGGGACAGCGCGGGCATTGAGACCGGAGACCGGAGACCGGGCGCTAGCGGCCGGCCACAGACTAACAGTTGGCGGTGTAGACCGGCGCCAGGTCGAGCGTGAGGTGGCGCAGCGCCCTGTCGCGGGACGCCGAGCGCGAGGCGCGCGAGGACTTGATGATCTGCAGCACCATCGCCTTGCAGTCGTGGCACACCGCCATCTGCACGCCGCGCAGCCGCTCCGCCGCCGACGCGCCCGCCCCCCCGCGCCCGTACCGCGCCCTGCGCCAATAATTCAATGTGGACTTGCCCATTTGTAATTACCACGTAAATATCCATTCATTCATTCGTTCGTTCGTTCGTTCGTTCGTTTATTCACTAATCCATTCATTCATAATGTTATGCTACAGTCAGTGGCGTGCACAGAGATTTCTGACGGCATAGTGCATGCAAAACTTAACAACGTTTACACTTAGAACTCATTAAAAACGGAAAGGCAAGAGTTAAAGTTAAATTATCATTAACAATTAACATCTGTAAATGATAAAACTTTAATATAAATGGGGACGTTAGGTGTTTTTGGGCACGTTTGTATTTGTTTGTGTTGGGATGACAGGGTATACAAAGCTTATTTGCTTGTATTTGGCTACTTTGTTTGATGGGAAATGTTTTCGAAATGAAGACTACAATATAGCTCTTCTATCGCAGTGGTCATTGGTACTTTCTATCCGACCCCTTTCACACAAAATACATATTACATGAGTGAACGAATGCACTCATGAGCGAATGAATTTAAACTTAAAGCATGTCATCCAACTTATTCTCATAATGCCATAATCAATTCAAATAAGCAAAATGTTATATTTCATCATGCCATAATTCAGAATTTCCTACAAGACTTTGAAGTTAAGCTTCGCGTTAATATTAACAGGATATTATCTAGACTTTAAAATAATGCTTAGCGTTAATGATATTATCAATATATCAACTAACGAAATGGCTCGAACAGTAAATGTCATCTTTAAGATCATGCTTATTCTAAAGGATATCACCCAGATATCATCTAGCGACATACCTCGAACTATTAATGTCAGCTTTGGGACCCCGCTTAGCCTAAAGCGCATCATCGAGATACCACCACTCACCTCCGGTCGGGCGCGGTGGCGACGACGCACGGCATGCTGCCGGGGCCGTCGACGCTGCGCGTCATCGCGGCGGGGGGCGCGCTCAGCTCGGCGAAGCCCAGCGCGGAGCCGCCGCGCGAGCCGGGCGCCGACTGGGGGCAGCCCGCGCGCCGCGCCACCGGGCTGCTCGGCGCGCTGCCCACGCTGTTGTCCACCACCTGGACAGCGCGAGCCAGCCCGTGACGGCGAGACAGAACGAACACAGGCGTGTCGTAACGATCGAGCGGACAGCGCGAACCAGCCCGTGACGGCGAGACGGGCGGAACGAGCCCGGACGTGTTGTCACAACCGAGCGGACAGGTCGGGGCGGGTTGTGGCAGCCGGCAAGTATTGGTATATATTGTACTGTGCCAACTTCTGCTGTTGCACAAATATCGTGCAACGGTCTGTGTGGTTGTGCATTGGTCTGTGTGGCCACACAGACCGGCGTGGAGTAGAAGCGTTACACTTTTGCGTTTCGTCTGCCAAATGAGGTCTATAGGTGTCCATAAGCATGGGTAACATCAAGTGAACCGCCTGCTCGCTTACAAACTCACAAAAAAGAACTTACGGTGTGTTCAGGCGAGACCAGCCTTGACATGAGGCTGCGCGGGAACGAAGACTGCGCCTCGTCTTCTGGCGACGGCAGGAGTGACGGGCTCAGTAGAACAACTGGCACGTGCGCGAAGTGCTCCGTCGGTATACGCATCTGTGACGTGGAGAGTTGGATCAATTACCGGTCTACTGCTTGATTTTCAACCCGAGGCTGGATATCCGAGGGACCCTCCATATAAAGGTATTACCATGATGCCCAGCAATGGTACATGTATAAGCTGTACTACTACTACTATAATGGTGCTTAGTACACCAACATGGTATACCTTTACTTTACGATATAGGAGGTATTTTGACATACTCGTATATTTTCATAGTATAAAACAAAGTCATCCCGCTGTCTGTCTGTCCCTATGTACGCTTAGATCTTTAAAACTACGCAACGGATCTTGATGTGGTTTTTTTACTAGATAGAGTGATTCAAGAGGAAGGTTTGTATGTATAAAACATTGCACCCGTGCGAAGCCGGGGCGGGTCGCTAGTATTTTATAAATTTAACTTGACCATAATGAATGTCAGTGATAGTGACGTCCTTGGTCAGTAAAATGATTTATACTTCCTCGCGCTATTAATTAAAATCGTTTAGCTACGCGGTTTTCTCTTTAAGGCATAAAAATATTAATCAAAATGAAAAGAAAATAAAACATAATGCATGTAAAAGAACTCACCTTCGAACAGCACTTTTGACAGACAGTCTTTTTACAAAGTTTGCATTTTTGCCCCCATGGACCGAAAATACCAAATCTCGTTTTCAAACACAGGAAGCATACCTGAAATTTAAAAAATAACAATAAATCAAGTACGAAATTTCAAAAAAAAATGTCATAAAATGGGTCATTTGTGCTAGTATTTGCCTGTTGTAATAGGTGCAAAAGTAAATAGTACACAATTAGTTAACAAAGACTTGAACACAATGACTTAAAAACAAAAATCACATGTCATGACTCACCCTTCTCTTTTCAACGTCCTCTTTGACCCTGCCCTCAACGGGCAAAACCTCCAGCTCTGCCTTCGTCAGCACAGATCTGATGTGAACTATCTCCTCCAGCGTCAGAGAGAGACGGTCGTCCGACATGATCGCGTCATGCCATTGTTTCTACGGAAAACAATTAAAAAAAAATTAAATGCATCTAAGTAAATCCAGTCGACAGCCCTAGAAATGGCAACAATAATTTATGTTATGGAATGTTACAAAAAATAAATTATAACAACATATGACTAGAAGAGCGTTACGTTAGCAAAACACTACGTACAAACTAAAAAAAATTAAATTAGAGAGAAAAATGTTGTTAGCAATTGACTACTTGCTCTTGAACGTGTCAATTTGAATAAATACCATGTATTTAATCCTGCCAAAATACTATTATGGGTAGGATTTAATACGAATATAAATAGTTGCAATGTGTATTCATTTGCCTGATATTTGATATTCATTGGCCTGAAGCGTCTCATCGTATTGACCCGCAAGAGTGCGAGAGTTAGTACATAAAGAACACACGCGTTAATCCTGCCGAAACGCTGCATATATAATTATGTCTGTAATATTGTAAACGCCATTCAAGAGCTCGCTGTGTAATAATAAATACAATAGAATATACATGTTTTAAATAATAGTATAAACAATATTATAACCCCTAATGTGCAAATTATTTCGCAAGGAGTGAAAACGACCACGAAATATTCAAGTGTTATTAAGTAGGGAAATAAACAGGGTGGCTTTTCTAAAGGTGCCCAAATTCATACAGGAGGTTCAGGCTCGGTAGTATAATCGTTTATTGAAATAAAAACAAACTTTTTTTTCCAAAAAAATTGCCATTCCATTTCTTAAAAAGCAGAACTTGTTGACAATACGGTAGTCATTCATAAATGCGTCGTATACTTTTGAAAAGAACTTGTGTGCGTGTTAGTTATGAATGATCGCACGTAAAGTAAACGAGTTGCCCATAAATCACGCACTTTTTGGGATAAATTCAAATGAATGTATTTAACTAATTACAAGTAATTAAAATATTTATCATTTTTATATAACATAATTATTTTATGTCTAGAATTTAATAAAAAAAAGTGGATACACAGAAAAGTAAAGTTAGTACGGTGGTAGGGCCACGCCGCAGCCTTGGCGGTTGCACGAATGGGCAGACTCTTCCGAGTAAGTACCACGAGCTCACAGAAGACCGGTGTAAAGTGAAAGTATAATACTTTCGCGTTTCGTCTGATGAGTGAGGTAGCCGGAGCCCAATTTCCCAAAAGGTTGTCAACGCATCTGCAAACCCTCGGGTGTAGCAAATGTCCATGGGCGGCCGTATTCACTTAACATCAGGTGAACTGTTTGCTCGTTTGGCAACTTTTCACATAAAAAAAAACTTAGAAAAGCCTCCCTGTATTATGGTATAGGTATCGAGGCAAAAGTAACGTTACTATCTCTGTCTACCCCGTTAAGATAGAAAGAGAAATGACGACAATAAATAAAATAGCTATCTTCGTTAAGATAGCTAAAATACTATGTCAAAATTACTATTGACGTTACCTTACCTAGTTTAGATTCCCCTCGAAACGGAACTCAATCATAAGTGCTAAAGCTCACAGTACACAACACACACTCAATAGTAGCCTCTACTCACATGCGAGCTATTAGGGCTGCAACTAACCGACTTGATAAGCTCGTCCTGTAGGGAGGAGCGAGACCAGGACAACTCGCCCAGCTGCGCGTCCAAATCGCTGCTCGCGAGGGAAGCGGCGCCAGTAAACGATGCACGGGAACCTGGCCTGTAAGACGAAACCGTAAAGTATAAAATGGCATGCCAATTTATCTAAGCGTAAGGAATTTTTATGACGAATCACAGATATTCAAACCGCGAATAGATGTTGTGTAATGTTAAATCAAATCTCTAGACAGAATCTGAGTTTACAGTAAAAGAGAGGAATAATCTGCGTCGTCTACCTTTCCTTCCGTAACGTGGGTAAAAATTAGGGGTGCCTCAAGTAATGGCAGCCTCCAATAATACTAGGGATGCCACTCCTAGAGCATTGCAAACGACTCGGGTGTGTGTTAGGGGTGCCACCAACGTTGGCCACTCTACTCACCTGGAATGGGGCAATGATTGCGCCCCGTCGGTGGGCGGGCAGGCGTGCGTGACAGTGTGACGGCGCATGGACGCGCGCCGCGATGGACATTGTGTTGCCAGGTCGTATGCTGCATGACGTTATAGGTGGAAATTAACTCTTCAATTTAGTAGGATACATTCCCAACTTGTTAGATGATTGTGTCCAAAGTATTACATTAAAAGTGGGCCATGGCGGACTTTGTGGAGAAATTTCATTAAAAAGTCGACCCAAAAGAAGATTGGACACCCTAGGACTATATAAATATTAAACATTACATGTTGTATACGAAATTACTCAAACAATAATATTAAAAATCACACCATAGAGACGTTGTGGATTTATACAGATGATAATTAAATTGTTGCAACTAATAATCAGCTAAAAAACTTGTTAAGATTCTTATAGAATTTCGATGTTACGTTACCTTTTCGTCCAGTTAGGCTATTTTCATAGCTTAAAAATTCAATACAAGTAAGATCCGTACAAGGTTAATGAATTTCCAAAAGAACCTTAATTGCATTAATGGTGAGATTATGAGACCGTAAACATTTAAGTGCAATTAAATACAAATTTATGAAAATGATTGTAATAACAAATGTACTTAAAGAAAGCGTAACTGGTTATTTGTAAGCATTTCTAAAAGATAACAACAATTGAAGCCATTACATAGTTTAGGACTTGACGAATTAGAAACTGTCCTCAAACAAATTGTGGAAAAAGTCAGTCTTTAAACAAATATTTACAAAGTACAAATTTTACCAAAAAGCTGCAATTCTTTACACAAAGCACTATCTGTATATAGAACCTTCAATATGTATAAACATACTGACGTGATAATATGCGGAATCGTAGAGAAGCGTTTTTATACAGTCAGCGGTAACCTACATTTTTTCGAACGAAACACTAAACACGAAAACGACAAATTACAGCATGAAGCAAAAATTATATAAAATAAAATTTTAATAGTTGCAATATATATCAATCAGTTGTATTTAATAGGATAAAATAAACACTGAACTAGAAGAAAAAATATTTGGATTGAAGTTACTATACAGGACGATTTTAATGCAATTAATGTGGGCAACACATAAAAAAATAATTTTCATAGTGTGTGTAGGGAAAATATGAAAAACTTTGTCCCGCGCATAATGAAAAGAAATAAACTAAGAAATATACAAAATAATAAGAAAATCATTGAATTTGTTTTTCATCAATGTGATAATCTGTGAAAAACCAAAGCGAGTGACAACGATGACATTTGGCGCGCTCGGAGAAGATAATATACGCAAAGGAAAATGCGTTCGAGTCATGCAGCCTAGTGCTTAGTGTGGCCATACACTCGAGCGTCTCGTCGCAGAACTGGTGGTACTCGTGGTGGGAGATGCGAGTGCGCGGCGGAGCGCGCGGCGGCTCGCCACTCGTGCCGGAGCCGCCAGGGGGAGCGGTGGGAGACACGACATTTGAGCCATTTTGTTGTTGAATAATCAATGTTTAATATTAAATAATAACTTACTATCCCTATTAGAGCCTGGCCTTTGAAATTTCACATCGAGTTTACACAGAGCTTGACAGCATAGCGTATATACTTTTCCATTTGATTAGTACTAATCATACATTTAATTAGCCTATAACAATAATAGAAGCTGGCTAGTTTCTTGACATTTAATTAAAATCCTCTCAAGTTTATATTTAAATTTTCAGTGATAATTAAGATTTAGTAAATCGAATAAAGCTAACACCGCGTACGCAAATATCTCGAACCATTGTCTAAATACTGTCTTGACAGACAACATGCGTGACGGCTTGCGTGGTGCAACACTCGATTTTTGAAATTCGCATCCTACTAGTGCGACCGAAAAGTCTTCCAGCTCTATCAGATTAGCAGCAAGCGTGTCGCATGTGTGAAGCTATTTGACGCCTTCTGTTATAGACAATAAGGTCTAGTTTACTTCAAACGGCATCCTTTGCAGGTGTTCGAGGTATCACCGTCCACTAGTACCCGCAAGGTTTGGATCAAACAAATATGGTTTAGTACCAGTTCTCTTCCAAGGTTTGGGAGCGGGCTGCTGCGGAGCCATGTGCCTCGGCAAGGGTTGCGGCACACAGGTTTCCGGGCTGATACACGTGTCGGTCTCGTCCTCGTCTTCATCGTCCTGGAAAGCGATAAGACGATAAATATAAATGTTTAGTTATAGATTTACGTGATAGCTCACGATCCGGGCGCTCGCCTTTAATTCAGTATACTCGAGCAACCTGAGATCGATCTGCGTTGCCAGCACGAATTAAATTGTTAATATTGAATGCTGACTTGTCATGTGTTCAGCGGTGAAAGAAAACATCGTGAGGAAACGTGTATATTTTTAAAATAATAACAAAAATGATTTCGTAAATATGTGAAGTCTGCCAATCCGCAGTGGGGTCGCTTGGTAGACTATGCCCTAACACCCTCTGAACAGAGGCCTTTGCCCAGCAGTATGACAGATACTACAAATTTTAAGATACTACATAGGCTATTACTCGTTTTTTTTTTTTTTCTTTTTATTTAATAACTATTATCTGATTATTATCATATTGCATTGTACTTCGTAGTAAGCGTGGAAAACCGTGTTGAATAAAATAGAAAGCAATATTAAAAAAATATTTTTATTTCAGTTTTCTCGTGAAACAAAATTACTAAAATGATGGTCATTTAAGTTATTTTATCGTAAAATGAATGTTAATTTTAATATTATCGTAGCTATATACAGATAGTAAGTATACCTCCGCGGTATATCAGGCGCACAAATGACATTAACGTTAGTGCACCTTAACCCTGAATAATTTAAGTGAAAGCAGACGGGCGAAATTAGGATGCGACGGAATCGCGCGCAAACCGCATACAAATTCTCTTCCCCGATGCAGGGCTTTCCCTTTAAATGAACGTTTAAATGGACGACTGTACATGGCTAAAAAAGGTTACCTTTTATTGTTACTTAATATCAAATTTCATTTGTCGTTTCATAGCATTTTTTTGCTTAGTCCCATGGCCTTTACGACATACTGTGTGCATGAAACCTTCTCGATGGTACATGACGTGATAACTTCTTGGCATTGCAATAGTACAATTGTCATTGTTTTATTGCAATGGCAAGAATCCGCTTCTCAATAGATCATGTTAAAAATAATATGACGTTCAATAATAATACAAAAGAGAATGGACGAAACCAATTAAAGTAAAGAATTTACAGACAGGAAAGATGACACTGGATTTCTAGTATGTGATGACAAATTATATTCTCCATAAAACATTTTGATATTTGTGAAAACAACAAAAGATTTATTTTTTTGTTCGAAAAAATAATACAAACCACTCAGAAGAATACTATGGAGAAAGCGGAAGGTCAAAAACGTTTGTGGCACATAGGCAGCGGGGAAAAAATTAACCTCATTTAGGTAGGAATAGCCGACTTATTCTAGTTGAACTGACATTAGAAGATTAGGGGTGGATGACAAAACTAATCCAATTGCGTGGAATGATAAACCAGAACGAAGCCCAACCGACCTACAAGCGAACCTTTGTTATTTATTATTACAGTTATTATTACAGTTGGCGGTTTACCTGATGTTAAGTGATAACCGCCGCCCATGGACGTTAGCAACATCCGTATGGTTGCAGATGCGTTGCTACCCTTTAATAAAATGGGCTCCGGCTACCTCAATCACTAGACGAAACGCAGAAGTATACCACTTCACGCCGGTCTTCTGAGAGGTCGTGGTACTGCTCGTTCAAGATTGTCGTGTGACCCTACCACTTTATATTAATGTATTTATTTTCTATGTCACTGTCATTAAGTATATGTACTGTACAACCACTATGCTTGATTTGACGTGTAAGGCGAACAATAAAAGCGAGTGGTTCAATTGGAAAGAGATAATTAATATACTTCAAGTTAACTACATCTTTGAATATTTAGAATCTACAAAGGAAGAACAGAAGAATTGAAAACACTAACGCTAAAATAGCGATTAAAGGAGGCTAAGACGTCTAAATGATGATGCAAAGAACTAGGAGTGCTGATTCTAGTCATTAATAACATAATGTCATATGAGATGCAGTCAGATTATAGGTCATAATAATAATTTAAATAAGAAAGGTCACCTTCACGTCTGGACCATGTATTTGCTCAAAAAATCTGTGTACTCAAATATAAAACAAAGAGAGGAATTGGAACGGATCAGAAGTTGACGTGACTACATTTCTATTCCAAATGGCGAAATACTACTAGATATATGCTCTCGACCAAAAATTGCACCAGTAATGAAACTTTTCAATATTTCCTTCTAAGTCGATTTTTATGGCACTCATTCGTCGAATTGAATGGTTTATGGCGTAGTTAGGTATCGACTTTCGCACGATTTTACCATTTGAAAACCGGGCGTTTGTAAGTGTTTGTTACATTTTGTAATTACTACAACAATACACACGGGAAAACTTTATTTTATAATGCCAATCGTTTTGACACTTTTATTGTCACAGGAATGGGACATCGCGTAATTAATAATCTTGAAATGTCGAATATATTCGGTAAAAATAGCTTTAACCATTAAACGACTAAGAAAGGTAAAAAAGTTTTTTTTTTTTCATGTAATGATAACTTTAGCAAGAAAATCAAATTAGGCTCTTCATAAATAGTCTAATGCACTGTGGTTCAGCAAAAGAAATATAATTTTAATACAATAAACGGGTCACGCAACAATCTTCGATGTTGCACGAATGGTATGTGGAGTTCGTCCGGGTAGTAAGTGGGATGTACCAAGACCTCACAGAAGACCGGAGTGAATTAGAAGTGATATACTTTGGCGTTTCGTCTGGTGAGTGAGGTAATCGGGGCCCACTTTATTAAAAGGTGACGACGCATTTGCAACCCCACGGGTGTTGCAAATATCCCCGGGCGATGGGGCGGCGGATAAGTAATTCGCAATGAAGTTTACAATCGTTAATCACGATAAAGTTTTGCAAAACGTTGACATGCGTCGGACAAATGATATCATACTAATGGCATCCTGTTTCTGATCTCACTGAGCGGTAATTCCAACGCAACGGTATCTCAGCGAAACTCATACGTACATCGTCACGCATACGTCACTACCGGATCGTTTTCGTTAGCGAGTTCTTTAGGTTCTTCCACTATAAACGACGTAAAATCTCCGACGAGGCATTTTCAATCTTGAGACCAAGGGGACAAAGTTTAAATTTAATTGGACAACAGTGGCACGCTTTAAGCGGGAACGAGTAAGACAGTTGGACCTTGACCTAGAAAGTATTCTAAATATACCTCTGTTCTTGGGTCAATACTTTTTACTAGGGTTGACTTTGATGATGGCTGGATATACAAAAACAAATTAATCATAAAAATTAACTATATGATAGCATATTCAATTTTAATTATGTCTAAACTGTAACTTTATACTTCCTTCTACAAAACTCGACTGTATATCAAATTTATTTGCGTCGAAATATCAAATTTAGTACCCATTAAAAAAATAAAAACCGTTCAATAAAAAGAATCTTCCAATTATTTCTTTGAATGCATCGAATCAAATATTTTTCTGAGACTCGAACCACCCAAATCATGTATCAACTTGCTTATAACTAAAACCGAAACAAACACGCATTGCGGACTAAGTGATTACTCAAAAGCTGCCTCGAAAAATAAACGAACGACCACAACGGCAATTTCCCGTCACGGCAAGGCTGACGACCCCACAAGCTGGGCGAGCGCGATGTTTCCCCTCTTTGCTAGCGGCGAGCGCCCCTCGAGGCGTCGACACTAAAGCCCCGACGTCCGTCCGTCTGCTCTAGTTGCCGCAATAAGTAACGAAGATATAACACTACGAAATGTGGCACAATATACCACAATCATGTTCGATGTTATTGCGATTGGCATACCTATCCATATACGTAAGGTGTATCTAAAGCTAAAGCTGTATGAAATAATATTTTTGTCGCGGCATTTTCCTTTTAGTCAATTGTTCTGCACAGCTACAGACTTACTTCATTGCCTCAATCATGTTCTGAGCTGTTCTTTATTAATTAAATAATAAGTCACGCTTTGTCTATACAAATCTTGATCGTATGACAAAGCTTTTTTTAATCCAATTCCTTTTTTTCTGTTTTTAAAGAATCTTTATTAATGTATCCATTTAATTACATTTACACACACTTATATAATTACTGTGAACAGTCACATGAATAGCAAATTGTTACTTCGGAAGAGATTTTTTTAAATAAGAATATTATATTGTTAGTTGCACAGTTCAGGACGTGTCGCTGTTGTCGTCAGTTGTTAAGGACGTGTCGCTTCCAGCTATTTTCACGATAGAGCCACGTCTTGTGCCGCCAAAAAAACACACGGCGAACATCGTTCAGCATTCTGAAAGATTGGACACCATCTCGGCAATTGCGAACATCGGCGATGTTTTTCAATTTTTTGTTAAAAACCACCGCTTCGGGGGTTAATAAGGTCGAGAGTTCCGTAGCGACCTTAAACTGGGGCGCGGAAACCTTGCAAGTGTTTGCACAAGTGTAACTAACTGTTTGCTTTCTACAGGATCTTTACGTACCGTTAGGAGGCGGGGTTATTAGTCATTTTAGTAAGTGGCCACACGAGCTGCGGCCTGCCAGTACTTTTCGGTATTTATCTTTTATTCAAAGAAGTCTGCGTGCAGAACGCTGATATTAAATATGTGTTAAGATTTTATAATATCTGTGCAGAATGCTTTAAAGGCGAAGGCGAAGAAACATAGTTTTCACTCAGTAATACTTTCCATGTCTTGTTCCTGCCTTTGGTGGGGTCGGCACAACATATGAACCATGTTGTTAGTGATATTGGCTAGCTTATTACGACCGCCTGTCTGACGTCATACCTCCCTCCCACGAACGTTCAGAACCGTAACAACTATCTCTGGGACACACAAATACTTTTGCCGTATGAGATTACAACCCACGATGCCAATAGCTTATCAACTACACCGAGTCATCTGACAATGTGACAATTCAAAAAGTGATAATACATCGGTACTGAAGATCCGAATTGACGAGTTCGTACCGCTAACCAAAATATATGTAAAAAGCTTGGCTTTAACCAAAATATATGTAAAAAGCTTGGCTTTAACCAAAATATATGTAAAAAGCTTGGCTTTAACCAAAATATATGTAAACGGCTTTTGCCCCGTTGGCTGGTACCCCGTTGACGTAGGTCTCGTGACAGTTTACTATTGCTTACTTAACCACATTATAGCTTGAGCACAAAACTAGTCGTAGATAATTCAATAATTTTGCACCCATAATCAGTTAAATGGCGGTCTTTACGTAGCGAATGTCTTAACTCGACGGACGATGCGAAAGGGCCTATGTGAGTCTAGTACCCTTTACCGATCAAGGCTGCCGCGCCTAACATATAGGATTATTTCAGATCACAAGTCCACAACCGGTTTGAATAAAATTAAAACATGTTGTCTGCCCTACTACTCACATTTACACGAAAGCAAGTATTCGCAAAATTTAAGGTAACATTAAACGACTACTATAGAACAGCGAAATCTGTTTCCATTTAGCATCAAGTAATCAAAGAAGGGGTCATAGGCTATTTACTCTATGCTATGTAGGTCGGATAATTCTGATATCTGGCGAGAAACGCCTAGTCTATCTTGTAATATTATCACGCACCTTATAATAAGTTGAAACAATGTCACAAATATTTTAAAATCCCTTAAAACGTTAAAAAGATCACGGTAAGGCATAATTTGATTATAGCTTTAATTTTAGATTAGAGAAGTCAGGAGACTTAAATCTAACCATAAAAATTTATCTAATTATAAAAATCACTAAGCTTCAAGATATAAAAAAGTCTTTGTTGCCCCCACACTCAACTACAAAAAAGTTTTCTGTTTCTTCAAAGACTCTGGGTAAACAATGTTTCACGATGCGCTTCACAAATTAATATGATTTAAGAGAGAAAACTAAAAATATCTATTCGTGGACCACAAAAACTTTTGTCATGTATAGGGATCGCGGATAAACACAAAACGCGGCGTGTTAATGGCGCCGTAGGCGTGATAATAACATTAACCATTACGTTATCTGTGCAGCCAAACCTGTCCCATAATGGGATTTATTAAGCTCGACGATAGTAAACAGCATTGACTGTGTTCCCATCAGGAATAAAATATGTTTCAGTTAAGCTATTCTAAATATTACCAAAGTCAGTCAAAATATCTTTATTCATACAGGCTTAACTTAGCTCTTATTGAACGTCAAAAAATAACTACCACCGGTTCACTAAACTAGACCTGTACAGAGAAGAACCGGCAAGAAACTCTACGGTGTTGTTTCCTTTTATGTTATTTATTTTTTGTGATGCAATTATAAAAACTTATATAGGTATAAAATGCAGCAGCAGCCAGGGGTCTTGCAAGTGCAGCGCAAGAGTCATTACCACACATCCTTGTCCGCGATGTATTGTTGGACATTATAACAGGCCCTTGCCATTAGTGTAGTTTTTACAAATTGTTTGAAACTGTTAGATATCATAGTAGAGCCACGCAGCAGCCTCGGCTGTTGCACGAATGGACAGGCTCGTCCGCGTAAGTACCACAACCTCACAGAAGACCGACGTAAAGTGGAAATATGAGAAATACTTTCGCGTTTCGTCTGGTGAGTGAGGTAGCCGGGGCCCAATTTTCAAAAGGTTGCATCTGTAACCTTCGGGTGTAGTAGATGTCCATGGGCGGCGGTATTCACTCAACATCAGGTGAACCGTCTGCTCGCTTGGCAACTTTTCAGATCAGAAAAAATCTATAATCAAGAACGAAACGCGTAAACTTTGTACTCGTACGACCAACATCTTTATATACAACCGACCAAATTGTAGTCACGCACGATTGAGTCTGATCCGACGAAAGCACCGTCAGAGTCGACGACACGTAAACGTAATGGCGGCTGCTGTCTCCGTTTTTTCTACGGGTCCATTAAAAACTCATTGCCGCGAATCCGTCGCGACGCAACAAGAAAGGAGGTTGAATAATCAACCCGTTCGATGAACGCCGGAAAAAGAAATGGTCTGAAACCGTCCCTATTAGATCTTAAATTTGAAATGTATTGTATCCACGAATTGCTCATAAAATTACTTAAATGTACATTTACTTAAGAAATCCTTTTTCTATAACACAATCGCTTCCTCGAACAATCATATTAAAGCAAATCAAATACATACTACGAAGAACCTTTAGAAAAACCCACATGAACGTTACCCGATTAAATTTTATCTCTCCAAGTTTCCAGAACAATTGTGCTGATATTATTCTAATCAATACCAGCGTAATAAAGTTCGATCACCGTAAAATGAAATCACAAGTAATTGGATATGTAAATATACGACTGAGAAACGACCTTTAGCAAGTGTTGTTACTTACGAGACAATCATGCTTTTGTAATTCACAATAAAACGAAGACAATTTTTAAACGAAGACGACCTTTAAACCAGACCGAATAACTGTAAAAAGCTGTAAGAGATACGATGTACTTTGAACACAAAAACCAAACATTTTTCCGTGTGCGAAGTTCTTAGCCCTTAATTTATTTTAAGAAATAATATAAGATTACAACAAAGCAAACAATAACAAACATAAATTCGCTTTTTATCATGTCATGGTTACACATTAATTCTGTACACAAGATGTAATCTAGAGCGTTGCATAATTTATCTACGATAACTATTAGAATTGCCATATTCATGAGGTTTATGACACCTTATTTGACCTCAAGGATTTATAAAAAACGTGCGTACTAAAGAAATAAATATCGGTCAAGGCATGCTTTTATCAAAATCGTAAAAACACAAATCTCATGATAATTCCATAGAATTTTATTTACATAGGAAATTGGTCTCATTTAATTAATGCGTGCGACACTCTAAGGAGATTAATGGAAGAAAAAAATGTCAAATGTCTTTCCCTCATAATTTATTTACCTATCTTTTCTATTTTTTATTCCTCTACTGTAATAGAAATATAGAAAGAGTTCTTCTTTAGACCAAAATAAAAACACAAATAACCTTCTTATTAGGTCACCATGCTTATGACCCCATAATGCCTCCACACCCACAGTTATTTTTCTTTGACATAAAAGAAAACTTATCACCATAAAAGCTTTTTTTATGTCAGTGGGACAGAGAAACAAAAAAGGGACATAAAGTGTATCGGTGACATTCGCTTTTGACGTGCCTATATATTATTTTCGTCTTTTGAATTGTAAATTTTTGGAGATAAATGAACAAAAACTTTCGGCCCTGCGGAATTCGAACCTGTATCTTCTGTTATTTATTATTTACATTACTTACTATTATTTACATCTTTCAATGTTATTCATTTTTTGCCTTTCTTTAGCCTAACCTCCTCGCAACCGTACTCAGACATGTTAATATGAACTTAACTAGATTTAAGTTCGGCATTTGCGATGTTCCGTGTTAAGGACTTACCAACAATTAACCAAGAAGACCTATTAATAATTTTTTAAACTAATTTAATTTCAGTTATGCGCTAATTTCCCGAGCGGGAGACAGAGAGAGCAAACTGAAAAGCAAACCCCTTTACGAAGCGAAGTGAAAAGTTTTTGTTTTAAATACTGATTATTTTCATCCTCAAAAGATATTTAAATTCGAATGCCAATTAATGCACAACCCGATATTAGCGATTTGTTGGGTGATTGCTTTGACCAAAATCACTTGGAAAACATCTAATTTTGACACAATCGCTAATAAGCAAAAGTCAAATGGAAGAAATAAGGTTAATACAGTATCATACTAAACCCACTTCGAAATGAATGTCATAGATAAAACAAAAAAGAAACGGTGGAGTTTCTGTGTCTGTGTCAAAGTAATCTTTGATCCATTCTCAACCGTTCGATTATCAGGTTTGGTGGTTGTTAAATGCTTACCGTGTATTGTATATTTTAACTGTATATGTAGTTAAACTATCCTGGCCCTGGCTAAAATAAATGTAAAAAAACGAAAAGGATATATAAAAGTCACGTTGTGGAATAATTATAGTGGCGTTTATGTGAACAGGATTTTTTCAATGTGCCAAAAATGATGATGAGCGATAAAAAAACCAATGAACTCGCGTTACGGGTGTTGGCGCCACTGCATTATCGTATGTTCATCCACAGTGTAAAAACTGTCCGTAACATTGATTGTTTTTCAAAAGACCCAATTTTACTTGTACTCACTTCAAGATTGTCAAAGTCGACTTTGATGAGCCTACGCTGTGGGGGTGCGTGCGGCGTGACGTCACCGCCGCGACGGATCTCACCGCCGCCCACCCCAGTGACAGCTCCGGTCGTCGCTGAAACAAAACCAACATGACAATCAAATTTTTTTTAGACACGCATACAACTGTCCTTACAGGCTAACCCAATGCGATAGTGGCGCCAAAAATTATATATTAATCTAAACAAACAATAAAAAATATTATTTTTTTATATATATTTTTTAGAGCTCCATATGGGAAGACAAGGAACGGCGAGTCTTTCATGACAATATCACATATTATGTTCCTCCTAAACATTGAGTACGTTCACATAAACAATTACTTAATCATATATAACCTCCTTAATGACATATATTGAATTATATAAAAGACCAAACTATATTATCATTTAAATTTAAATAGTCGCTTCAATCTTGTCATTTATTAAGTCCCGTTACAATAATAGTACCAAATAAACGTTACGTAATACTCGCTTCTCTGCGGTTAGCGTAACAGTTTGAACGGTATGTAATGGTATGTAATCTTAGTAGATCGAGCTTTGGTAAGCGCTAACGTCACGACTAGTGTTGCGACACGTTCGAGTCAAAGCGGCCTCTTACTTTCGCTGTCCTCCGGTTATCGTAAGCACGTCCCTAAATTGCAAACTGCCGTCGCCTTTCACGGCGAAATGTCAGTGTTGTGTTTCGGATAATTAATGACGCCGCATAATGACATCAGGTGTATTGACTCTCCTCTGTGATCTATCCTAACTATACTAAAAGCTCTTAGAAAAGTGATCATGTTCGTCGTTCAATATTAAACGCTACATACAGTCATCGACGGAACGTTTAACTAAAAATGTATGCTTAACACCTTTGTGCATTGTCATCAGAACATAACTGAGATATGTTTCATCGACAAAATGTAAAATTATAACAGTGTTAATAAAAATATGTCTTACATTAGATTAAGCTAGATAAAAAATAAGCAAGTGTGTTCTTTCGCCAACCGATCATCTGGACACGACCAGAAAAGTGTTCTTGCTCTGAGGGCCTGATGAATTAAGAGTATGTTGGTCGGTGCAGAGTGCATCTCGTACCCACGTCTGAAGTTGAATGCCGATATTAATCACAGAATTACAAAAAACGAATAACCCGTCAAATTTTTCGATCGGTTTTGCCACAACTTCCAACAGCGGTCACGCGATTGAGAAGCCGATAACTAGCGGGCTAGCTTTACGACGGCCGAGTTTGTTAAGTCGCAGCTGCAAGGCCCCGATTAGCCGCAGTGCAGTTTAACTATTAAGGAACGGTTCACACCGGACGCTCAACTCGGATTAAAGAACGATTCACACCGGACGGGGCGCGTCGGCGCGGTTAGGAAATTATAGCACGCGCTATCCGCAGAAATGAACCGAAGAATCCGAAGCAGTGTATGCTTGAGCATTCTCTGGTTCATCCCTCATATTTCGAAAGATTAATAATATATTTATATCCTGTGAGTATGCAGTGCAGTAATCTAATATGTATAGAATGCAGCCTTTTATATGATACACAGAGGATACTGCCGATAATGGGGCGTTTAACTCTTCGTTTAAATTAGTAATAATTTATATTTGTTTATGTTTATTTTTATTACTGTGGTAGGGCCACGCAACAGTGTTCGCTGTTGCACGAATGGGGAGGTCCGTCGGGGTTAGTACCACGACCTAACAGAAGACCGGCGTAAAGTAGAAGTGTTGCTACTTCTGCGTTTTGTCTGATGAGTGAGGTAGCCGGGGCCCAAATTATTAAGAGGTGGCGACGCATCTGCAACCCTGCGGGTATTGCAAATGTCCATGGGCAGGCGGTTATCACTTAATCACTTAACATCAGGTGAACCACCAGCTCGCTAGCCACTTTCTCACATAAAAAAATATATTACAGCATAGTTTTAGTAAATTTGAATTTTGTATTGATTTTGGTTTACTGTAGTATGTATAATATAATGTTGTTTTATTTATTGTGTGCGTCCTTTATCTCGGTAAATAAATATTTTTTCTCTGTTTCTATTTTTCATTGCCAACCCGTTCCCATCAGGCATAGGTAATATGTTAATATGATTGATAAAGCAATGCCCACATATTCCATTTCCTTCAGCATTTTGCGAATATACCTGGACGCGCCTCCGCTCTCCCCTGGTTGTGAATCGAACTCAAACGCCGTTCACCGCCAGTTCACCGTACTTGGGCTTGGGTTGTTGGTATTAAGCCGTTCGTTTTTAATCCGTTTATGAAACTAATCCCGTTGTTAGAGCGTTCAAGGACGCGGAACAAGTCTGATGGACCGGAATAATTCACATCCGCATTTAATAACCCAATTATGGACATAAAGGACCTTATCAGCAATTCGATAATAATGTTTTGGAAGCAATAAAAGTGATAAAATTTTAATGCACACTACAAGGAACTTAATTTAAGAAAAAAAAAAACCACAGGTAAATTGGCAAAGTAAAATAAAGATTTCAATTGGGACAGTATGGCATAGTTTCGATTTTATATTGCATTAAGTATCCAACTTAATATTGTTTACGCTTCGTGTTTATAAAGCCTAAGATAGAATAAAAATTTATTAATTATATGTATATAAATATTTGAAACGACCACCTGATTCTATCACACGATGCTATAGTAAAGTAAGTGGTTTTTTTTTATGTGAAAAGTTGACAAGCGAGCAGGTGGTTCACCTGATGTTAAGTTAATACCACCGCCCATGGACATCTGCTACACCCGAGGGTTTGCAGATGCGTTGACAACCTTTTGTAAATTGGGCTCTGGCTACCTCACTCACCAGACGAAACGTGAAAGTATTATACTTCCACTTTACGCCGGTCTTTTGTGAGATCGTGGTACTTACCCGGACAATCCTGCCCATTCGCAACGTGGTAGGGCCACGCAACAACCGGGGCTGCTGCGTGGCCCTACCACCGTAATGTCTTACAGATAAAAATACACAGGTTTATCGCCATCTTTAAGACGGGAAAATGTCAGCTATCCTTCGTTTTTTATTGACTACTCCAAATTTATAAACGCGATAAAATAAAAGACAAATAATTTTAGTTTCAATGTACCTTTGTTGTTCTCTTTCTTCTTAAATTAAACGCGCTTGAGAAAAAACAATGGCGGCTACGCGCCCCAATCTCGCTTCAGAAAATCGAACTACGCTACGCGACATTAAAAACGCAATTGTGTAAACCTTACAATGGAACGTTAGTCTTTTTGTGATAAAATGAACGTCTGCGGCTAATTGCTGAAATGGGACGATTAAATGTCATTAGTATGAGTACTTTTTATGTTTCTCTCAATCCAGATCGCAGAAGAAATGTTAGTAATGAGCAATCATCGATTCATTGCAACGACGGGCGAGGTTTCATCCTTTTATGGAAAAACGGAGACTTAAGCGATTCCGTTTTAATGACTTAATGGCGGTATTGTAAGTGGAATGTGAACTTTGTGATAAAATTCAAAAAGTCACCCAACCTTTTAAATGAACTCCACTAAATAGCTGAAATGTAATTAATTTTCCTATATAAATATAAATATAAATCGCTTCTAAAAATGTAACTCAATTCGGAGCCCATTTTTTCCCAAGCGGTGAAACGGGATCCTATTACTAACTGTCTGTCCGCCCGTCTATGACCAGGCATGTGTATCTCATTAGCCGTGTGTCTTACTATAGACAATTGAAATTTTCAATGATAACGTATTTCTGTTGAAGCAATAACAACAAATACTAAAAAACAATGAAAAGAAATTTAGTGAGGCGCCCATACAACAGATGATGATTTTTTGCCGTTTTTTCTAGATAATGGTACGACACATTTCATGCGAGAGTCCGATTCGTACTTGGCCGGTTTTTATTTTAATCTCGTGTAATAACGAAGTCGATATCAACGTAGGTCCGTCTGCTGGAAAGGAGGAATTAAAAAGGCTGCGGAGATCGACCTTATAAAAAACATTAATATTTAAAGGCTTATTACGACTTTCGTAAATGATAAAAATTGTTCCATTGCCGAGATAAAAATCTTGATAAAAAAAAAACAATCCAACCTCTTGCATGCTTCTTTTCGTAGATTACAAACGCAACGAGTAATTCCATTCATTAAGATATTTATTTCTGTCTGTTCTGTTCACAGACTACAAAAACGTTTGCCGTTAACAAAACGCTCGATATACGCATGTGTATATGTATGTACCGCCAAAATAAACTACACAAATGGTTAGTTCGCAGCCTTACTAGTTCTTTAACACTGATCACAGAAAAAGTAAAACAGACGAAAGAAAAAGGCGGGCCAATTTCATGGCAATTTCCAGGTCCGTTATACAGCTTCTCGTTATTAGTCGGGCAAAGGCGAGCGGCGCGTGACGTAATTCGAATAAACTATGACATTTAAATCGAGTCAGGGGCAGGACTGACGCAGAAGGGGGTGTACGGGAGAGACCTCTGTGTTCGCTCACGTGGGTTGAGTGTGAGGGCAGCGAGAGTGAACAAACATAACATCAAGAGAAAGTAATAACTACACAAAATTTTCACGGCTTCTGCGACATACGACTTTACGTTTTTTTTCAGAAGGCGGCAAACGAATAGGCGGTTCACTTGATGCTAAGTTATTACCACAGCCAATGGAAACCCGAAATACGTATTGCGTTGCAGATGCGTTTCCTACACAAGTCCATTTTTTTAGTAACGAAAAACCGACTGCAAATATCTCTGTATTCATTTTATAATTGATCTTCAGGAGCTCCCTTAGTATTTCCGGAGTCCAAGATCCAATACCATTGAAATTAATATGGGACCACGTGGGAAGCGCCAGCTCTCAAATAAAAAAGAATCATCGAAATCGGTTAACTCAGTGGAAAGTTCTGAGGTGACGAACATTAAAAAAAAAGCAGACGAATTGAGGACCTGCTCCTTTTTTGAAGTCCGTTGAAAAGAGGCCACTGGTTACCAATCACGGGACGAAATGCAGAAGTGTAACTAACACTTTACGCCGGTCTAATGGTCTTCTGTTGACGAGTCTGACCATTCGTGCAACAGCGGCTGCCGTTGGCACTACCA